GATATAAAGTGCACAGTTTCATCCAAAGAGATTTACACCTTTATGTAATTTCAAGACAAAAATACATTCATTTTCTTCATTCTTCACCTTATTCTAGTGGCAACGTTAATTTTATTAACTCGAATTAAACCTAATAGTAAATGATTCTTGTGATCATTTAAAATCTTATTGTAGATGAAAATATCATAAAAAAATTTGTATAATACAAAATATTATTCATCAAATCCAGAAATATGATATTTATTTTGATCTCGTGTGATCATTTATGGTCTAAAAATAATCTTATGAATATATTATATGTAATTGATATTTTTTTGTAGTCATTACTCAAGTTCAATTTGATGAAATATATATTTTGGTTTTTGAAATTGATCCAAAAAAATAATTTTATAAATAATGTATATAAATAATAAATATTTTTCATCAATTTTTAATTGATTCACAAAGTTTTCTACAAAATCTTATTTTTTTTCTTTTTATTTTCATAAATAACATAGATTCTTGCTCAAATTAATCTTTTGGTTCAGTGATTTTTTTCTTATAATTTGATCTATTTTGAATAATTCATATTTTTAATTTTTTTGGATCCAAAAAATAATAACTCTACGATTAGATGTATTCTCAAATACAATCTCAACTGCGTGATTTACACTTTTCTTTGATGAAAATCTTATAAAAATTGTATTTTTATATTTCATGAAAATTTATTTTACATAATTTGACAAAAATCGTGTAGATAAATCATTTGAAATAACATTTTTATATTTCATGGGAATGAAGTTCAAATAATTTGATTGAAATCATATAAATAAATCATTTGGAATAATTATTTATGTGCAATTAAAATGCAATTCAACTCATTTGATGAAAATCATATAATTAAATCATTTGAAATAAAAAATTTATAGAAATGCAATTCAAGTAGTCTGGAAGTTATAATTACTTATATTATTGAAGGGGTTAGTTATTGCTGAGTTGAGGTTTATTATAATTCACCCTATTACACCCTAGAAGCTCCAAACAATCCATTTTGATTTTGATACGTGACTAATCATGGACCAAATCGAATTTACAGGCCAAGTTCTCGATCGGCCAAGAGTATGTTTAGGCTGTTGTCACTGCCAAAGGTCGGTGAACATCGCCAGACTTCCGTTCTTCAGCTCTTACATCTTCAACTCTGCTAAAGTGTTCCTCACATGCGCCTAAAAGCTTTTTTCACTTTGCTTTTAGAGCAACCTCAGTGAAGGTAAGGAAGAATATCCCTTACGGAATTTGAACCCGTGTTTTCGACATGAAAAGACGATGTCCTATATCTCTAGACGAAAGGGACGAAATCACTTCAGGCTCGTTCTAAATTGACGGATAATTGATCAAAACAATCTGATTTTGATCATGGGTGCCATGCTGCTCATGTTTGTCCATTCTTTAGAGAACTGCACTTTCTCTACCTTATCCAATTTCCCATAAGTTGTGACTTTGATCTTCTCCCAAGAGTACAGGGAGGAGGGCCCATGTGCGTGAGCTTAGGTTGGATTCCGGACTTCATTGTCATCATCCAGAGATTACCTTAGAGGGCTTCTCTTGCTTGTCTTACAATGGTCATGGAGATTCATTGCCAAGTTCAGCCAACAGTTTCAGGTTCACAGATCTCAAAGCTCCCAACATGCTATCGGGCGTGAATCATCTCCAGCTCCTTGTTCTTGGCGAAGTTCTCAGGATCGGCAGAGAGTCCGGCATTGTCCCAACGTTAGTCACCGGGCTAGTACCATGGGTGGCACCGAAGAACAGGCCTCTGATCGGTCCACTATTAGGCACGTATTGAAATTGAAATGGATTGGTTGGAGCTTCTAGGATCTAGTATGATGAGGTATAATTAGCCTCAATTGAGGTAAAACTAGCGGCTCTCTATATTAAATACAATAGTATATATAATCACATCATTTTGATAGCATTTGTTACTATGTAATATATCATAATCATTTTGGAAATTATATAAAAAAACAAAAAATGTGAGATAGATATACATCATGTTCATGAATTTCAGATTATTTGATCTAAAAGGCATATGATTTTTAAATCTTGCTTTACAAGGATTTTTTTTATCATTGAAAATATTGATTTGATCATCAATATGTTGTATTTTATATGTGTGTTGTGTAATAATGAAAAATGCTGCGCATAGATTTTGAATCTTTGGTACTAATGTTTGCACTTTCATCTATTTTTCATCAAAAATTTATCTGTTTTTTTATAGTTAATATGAAAAATTATTATTTCAGGGCTTGCTGTTTGATATGAATATAATTTAAGTTTATCATTTAGAAAAATCCTAATTCTAATTCTAATTATCATTGCATTGAGTAATTCATCCGTGTCAAATGTTGTCCCGATGATCTTCAATCTATACTTAAAGTAACTATGTAGTTACAAAAAATAGTGAATTTTTTTTTTTTTATTTACCAAATAATTTTCAGTTAACATTTTTAAACAAAAGCTTCAATTTTTTCTTTCAATTTTTTTTTTTACTTTTACTCATATAATAATTGAAATTAAAACATTCAAGTCATCATTTACATAATCATCATTTATATGTTACATTAAATTTACACAATCCATCATCATTCTCTTCTTATTGTATAGAGATAAAACGAAGTAAAGATCTATCCCATTTCATTGCAATGCGTGATGATAAAGATAATTTCATCTGGGTTAGTAATAAGCGGAGACTTGAAATTTATTTGAGAAACTGGAGTTGTAAAAATAAATTAAAATGAAACAGATTAAGGTGTTTCCAACTTGCGATCGATTACAAAATTCAAGTATTTACCGGCACTTGTGCGCCCACATACATATATTCAAGTTCATGACTTCGTTGAAGATGTATAGGTTTCACATGGAGTTTTAGATTTGTACTCATAAAAGTTGAGAGTAGAGTAGATACTTTGTTAAGTCCGCACATTGATCTCAGGCGGATGGTGAGGACTTACGATTATACTTAAAATCAATTCCCTAAACATCCTTTAAATTACCGGACGATTTAAGGTTCAGTAGTTTCCATCAAATCCCTAAACATTGATTTAATCACTGTTAGTTTAAGGTTTAATCAATTCCAACCTGAAGAAAAGATTCAGTCAATTCCAGCGTGAAGGAAATTGACTGAATTATCTTACATTTAACATTCAGTATAATTTCAACGTGAAGAAAATTTGACTTAATACAGCAGGTTTACGGTTGAGTCAAATTTCAACGTCAAGAAAATATTGGTTGATTTCATACGATGAACATGCCGAGATCTTCTAAGCGTAAGGGCGAAGGCAAGTGTTTCAATGATCGTCAATGTATGGAAATCATCAATTTCCTGGAGGCGTCAAAAACCATCTTCCAAACGCAGCATTGCTCGAAAGTTTGGTGTTGATGAAAAAGTTATTTGAAAGATAAAAATTAGCAAGGACGAAATTCGTGAATGAGCACATAGGGTAAACCAAGCCACTCAAGAGTTCCGAGCTTCTCAGACCATATTTTCAGATGTCGAAGATATTTTCAGATTTTAAGAAGCTTATTGAATGGATTGATGCAAGAGGCCGAGCTTTGTTTGTTTTGTCTCCTAGTATTCTTTGCCAGAAAGCGAAACAGATAGATACCACAATGGGGATTGCTAATGAGAAATTCAGAGCATCATAAGGCTGGTTTGCAAGATTTTGACATTGACACGCTTTGAATAGCGTAAATTTGTTTGGAGAAGGTGGCGAGGTTTAAAAAAAATAAAAATCCGAAGACTTTGAAAGCTTTGTCTTCCATAACAAGCCAATACCGAGCCAAAATGCATTTACAATATGTACAAGGGGAGTACTAGGGCCACACCCGTTTTTGCTACGGCCACACCTGCTTTTGCTACAGCCACACCCGCTTTTGCTACAGCCATACCCGTCCGTTCAAAAGCGGGCCTACATTAGTGGTGGTTTAAGTTAAAGTTACATTAAAGTTAACATTAGTGGTGTATTGCAACGATAGTGGGACGCAACGAGTCTTGTGGGAAATGCTTGGTCATTCCTTACTTTTATCTTGGCACAAAGTTTTATTGCTCCTTGACAACTCTCCTGGTTATATTGTAATTGTTGAACTTAATGGCGCATTCGTGTTGCATTCTTTTCGCCTATTGTCACGTCTTGGCAGCAACCTACGGATATGGCTATCATCGCAGCGGTAAAAAACGATGTAAGTGTCTTATGCTAAAAGGATATCATCGCTGGATCCCATTATCTAACATCTGAAAATATTAATCATGCTAAGGATTAGTGTGATGCGATTTCTCACACCATGGTGAATGTTCTCAAGCTTGAGGTGAAAATGAGCGCGCTAAGATGTTCCCATTATCTACCATCAGAACATATTAATCATGCTAAAGGAGCTCTCTTTACACTGCGTCGTATTTTACAGCATGGTCAATCTGCCATAGTTCGCGGACAAAATGGAGATATTTAAAATTAGATATACTTGTCTTCTAAACCGATAAACCCGTCAGAAGAACATACACATATCACTAACTGCAGACACTCCGATAAGGCTTGAGACCGCATCACTAACCATTGACCAGAGTAATTTTGAAAAGTTAGCGCACCAGAAAGTCTACCGTGCAATTACGAGCAAATATTTGGAATTAGGAAACAAGAGGTAGCGCACAAGACTCATGTCCAGATCCCAAGTTCCTTCCTGATATTGAGCGGCTGTCCAATACCTGGTGTGAGAGTACTACCATACGAACAGATATTCACATTTACAAAGTGAAGTAAACGCGGATTGCTCTGTTCAGGAGGCTAAATCCTGATATTGAACAACGCCATATACAATATTGATCATCACACCATATATCCCTCCCTCACCAAGCATTACACCACATATAATCAGTTTGCAACACAACAAGACACATAAAATGAGAATAAAAGGCTAGAAAGAACCACATTGCAACTGGTACGCCATTTCGTGTACATGTCTGAAGCGGGTCATTTAACACACATTGACTGCAAATATATCAGTATGTTTCTTCTCACAAAAATCCGCTTGATGAACAGATTGTCAAACACAGAGTTGAAGTCCTATACATTTTGTGCTAATACCCTACCAGATATCCACATTTACCGAATGAGGTAAGCGGACTGCCCTGATGAGGAGGCAGATTCCTAATAATGAACAGAACTGACACCTAACTAGAAAGGCCAATCAGCCCTCCCGAGATGGCCAAAGTACTGAGAAAAATGGCTAAATATGAACAGGGTCAACGGTGCAAGGCATCACTTGTCTCTATCTATGTGTCGCTAAACCTCCGAAGGCAACAACACTTGTTTAATGACAGTCATGGACACTTGCTCCATCCTTCCCTAGTGTTTCTCATTCACAGACCATATTCTTCAATATACATGACTCAGGGGTTTACATTAGCTGAGAAAAATTCTCATCCATCCGACCCCATTCTTAGATTCCCTTTCCGTGTGGACGGAGAAGCAAGAATCTGCAAAACCTTGCTAAATATGTGTACAAATATTTCTCCGTTCAACCGAATTGCAAATCGGATTACACCTTAATGCCATCCGAGGACAGGCCGCCTGAAGAGAGGTCATCCTCCGACGGTTTCAAAGGAGGTCCCATACATGAACGTGCTACCGACTCAAACAACTTCTCAATCTCCGGGGCACATCTTGTAAAACCATGACTCCAAAAATTGTAGCGAGGATTCTGCACACAGCCATAAACGTCGAAAATGTTATTTATTCCGCCCTGACATCCACTGCAGAAGATCCAAGTTCCAGCTGATAAGAACTAGTAAAAGGATGAAGAACGTTACCTTTATGAGCTCTATAAACGTGATCAACAAACCCCATGGATGAGGACGATTCACAATCAGACGCTCCAACAAAACCCTTGTAATTTGCTCTTGTATAATCTCCTGTCATAACAAAAAATAAGTCGTTTCATTGACTACGAAAGCGTGTACGAATATAGAGGTTCTATATAAATCTTTACCACGAATGGTAAGTGAACTACAAAGTTTATTTTTCTCCCTAAAGTCCAGCAAGATTGCTCACCTGGTTTGCCTCTGCAAATAAGTATAAGAGGACACAAGAGAAATAATGAGTGTGATTGTTGGGGTATCTGAGTTGATTGGCCACTGCGTTGAGGAACAAATAGCGCCCCTCCGTGTCGAGTTCTACTATAAGCATCTGGAAAATGTCCATTGGAGCACTATGTGTGATAGGTGCTGTCGGCACTGCCAGTTGTTGCGGGGTTGTTTTGCTCTGTAATTGCTGGATCGCCTGCCGTGAAACAGAACACAGATATGAAACAGTCACCAAAACACCGATGGGGCAAAAATTCTTAATAGATTATTTTAAATTGCAGCTTATAACATACGAAAGAAAATGGTTACTCCACATACGAACCACCATGAGAGGAAAGGGGAAAAGGAAAAGAAAGAAAAATCATATACCTGCATCCCGACATATAGAACTAGTGCATTGATGAGCGGCACATTATATCGTGTGCCGCATGGTAATGCCTCATGTTGTGGAAGCATCAACCGTTGCTTGAGGTCCACTGACAATAAGGAGTGTGGTTGTCGAGTCTGATATACAGGTACTAAACGGTCAAAGAACTACCGGAGTAGACTAGGTCAATTGACTGAATAAACAAAAGAGATAAGATTTACATAAAAACACAAGACTGAGAGGCGGGGGTTGAATGTCGTGTCAAAACACTCAAGTAGAGAACGCAGGGAATCAACGATCCAGCGGCAGTAAATAAGTCAATACTTCCTCACTTGAATTCTGCAAAAACTCTACATAATTCAAGATGAAACAGACTCAGCAGCAACCTTCAAATAATCGTCAATTTCAGCCTTCAGTTGTTTGTTTTTCAGGGCAGCTTCAACGTCCGAAAGAATTCGTGGAGCTTGACTTATTTCTGGAAGAAGATCCACCTGTTATCAAAACCAACTCGATATCAGAACGATGGAGATAAATGAATAAACAACATCAGAAAGGAAAGAAGTCATCCCAAGGTCGATGATTAACGAGAGCCACCTTCAAGTTGGGAGTAAAGGGATCCGGCAGGCGCATGTTGCGTGGGAATGCACTGAGGATGAGATTGCGCATCTGAATGCAACTTGGAGGGATGACATCGCAGAAGCTAAAATGGTAGTCGCACAAAAACTCCGGAAAGTCGTGAAGCAACACGAGAAGTACACGCAGAGTTCCTTTGTACAGCAGACGTACCTACATTCAAGATTAAACAAAACGTATGCATGATATGAGAGAAGAAAATGACAGCGTTACAGTGAATAAACCTCTAAATGGTCTACCATCAAGATGAAGGAAGCAAACAAGTCAAACAAGAAAAAAGAAACTTCATATATCCCAACCAGCATGAATCACTCACCGGATCACTCAGATCAGCATTTCTCAGGTATGGCTCCATGAACTTGAAAAGGGCAACAAGCAGTCGTTGAAACAACGGCCATCCTTTCTGATTTTGTAGAAGTAACTTCGGCATAAAAATTCGGTGGCTGATGAGTTCCAACCACGCAAAGCTGGAAAACAAAAACAGAATCGATTCCAGGTCAATACACTTAATGTACACTCGTCCTATTCGAAGCAGATGCTTCTGATGGCCAACTGAATAAACCGCACGTATTCCACACACTTAAAACAGATTATTTACTGATCAGTCCCAAACCTCACCTCCAACCGGGTACTCGAAGTGGCTGTAAAGCCAACAGTGCATTGCCAAAAGCTGTAAGCACCTGAAGGAAGAGTACACACAACAATCACATCAGTACGCGGAAAAGTGAATCCAGCACTAAGTTCCTAATCTAAGATTCAAGATCGTAAGTTACCTGATAGTTGCTAGACTCCAAAGCAGGATCTGCTGAATTGAAATCCATCAACCAAGTGACAAAAAGCCTGAAGTATGGTCGGGGATGAAAAGTAGTCTTCTTCTCATCAGCATCTCTTTGGATGACTCTCACGGTAACATTCAAGACCTGGAAGGCATCCATGGAAACAATACAATGTTTACTACGATAATCGGCAACGGCTCCCTCATAGCAATCCAAGAACATGGAAATTGATAGACTTCCCAAAGTTTCCATCTATTCCGAGTGAAAGCATCAGAGGACTTCTCGGTGGACTCTTTACCTTGTTAAGAAGTGCAACTTTACTCATTGCAGGATCTACCGCATAATACTGCACGCAAACACAGGCAACAGGCATTGAGAGGTCTAATGTGAGACACGTCCAATGAAGAGTCACATGTGTACGCAAATAATGAGCTTAATGTGAGAAAAGGCCGGTCAGAGAAGCGAGATGTGTAGAATGATAGTGCTTCGGTAATATAAGGGAGTTACCTTCACCAACAAGACAACAAGCTTCGCATACATATCGATAGCCCCAAAAGATACAGCTTGACCAGACTGACCAGAAGGACCTGTAGCCCCTTGGCTAGACTGGCTCTCGGCACTCAAGCAATGGGACACGGCCAATTCCTGCACAAACATATGCTAATTTCAGCACACATACAAAGCCTCCATATGTCCTCACACCGTTTCAGAAGAAATAACTAGCGATGTTCCAAATATTCACTATTTCGCGCCAAAAAACGAAGAAGAATAGTAACTACCATGAGGATTCGGAAGAAACGATCCGAAACATCATCGCCTTTGAGCATTCCTGAGTGTTGGAGTTGTGACATGTAGACAGCGTACGCCTTGTCGTTCGCACCCGGAGCATCGCAGATGCGGGCCCATTCTTCAAACAGAAGAACGACCTACGGACGAAAGAGAAATCTCATGCTGTTAGACAGCTGATTTTGAAAGCCGATAGTTGACTGAGACACTAACACTTTCTGACACGTGTTTCAATCCTACTCAAAAGGCATGTTACCTGAGAACGAAGCCCAGCAGGATCAGCGGCCGCCATATCACGGCTCGTCATTTTGCTGTCCTCTCTCAGACCTACAAGCCGACTAGACGGCAACTGCAGATCAACACACCGCATCGTAGTATTAGCAAAAGCACACCGACATCTGATACATTAAGTTCACGAGTTTGCAATAGTCAAGTCAAGAAATAAATGACGACAATCTTTTCTACAGTCCGATCGCAACCTTGATCAATGACTATGTCAATTCTTCAGTACTGCATGAACGGCGTGAGTTTGAAATAGGAAGCGCAAGTACCTTCTTTTCTTTGGAAACTCTGCTCTTATCTTCCTTATTGGCAGCTCCGCTTTGAGAAACGGCACTTGTAGTGTTCTTTGCAACCTCGACCAACTGCTGCAACGCTTCTGGAGATCCTGGCCTTGCAGCAAGCTGAGAAGACCAAATTTGTACCAGTTAGACATCGGGCTACAAATGCACGAACAATCTACTGAAACTTCTCAAAAAGCTTTTACAAAGTACGAAATGCGGGGAAACTGAAATCTTAACAGCCTAAAAATCGGATCAGAATTAGAGATATCTCATACAGGCCCTCGCGGAATGAAAACTGAAAAATGAGAGGGAAATAAGGCCAACCTTTCCAAGAACATCAATCACGTTTTGAAATTCGTTGTTGCTCACACCGCCATCTTCTACCACACATGTCTTCACAAGATACATCGAAAACTCCAGAGCAGCATCTGAAAACATACGCATGTCATAAAGGTCACCGAATACCAGTCAACATAAGAATACATACCACACAGACTTCTAACGTACTGAGGATAACTAAATACACCATAACTAATACGATAGACCCGTAGAATAACACCCACGAACAATTACGACAGCCAAAATGCAAGGTTGAGTTCAAAAAGAACGTGTATAACGAATACAACTTACTGTTGCGGCCTCCGTCTATGAGCTTCGCTAGATGTAGATTGTAGTCAGTGAGGTAGATTAACTCCGACCGTATAAGACCTACAGTTATTTCCCGATTGAACTTCCTATCTTCATCTGAATAAATCACCTGAACAACCAAAAACAAATCCCCGTGTTCGTCTGTAAAACATCTCACCATTATATTCGAATGAAACAGACAATAACACAATGTAGAGGGATAGTACACCTGAAATTGAATACGTTGTCTACCACATAGCAACCTTAAAAATAGATAAATTCAAAGAGAGGCTCATCTGATAAATAAGAGTGGAATCAAGCCAAGGATAAATCAAAGCATTCCTTCTCCGAGAAAAAAAAGAACTCCCTACCCAGCTAGTGAGCTCCTTGACGACACGTTTGCACACGTCTCTTATTGCCTCCAAGATTGCTAGATGTACAGAGACATGCAGATGACTTGCAGTATTTTCATACAAGCGCTTGAAGACCTTTAACGGAAAGATAAAAGAAGTTTTAGTACCACAAGTTACAAGCGACACATGAACTTCCTGTACTTTCTAACGCAGGTCCAAATCAACTCTACTAAGCTCTGTATATCACAACACGCGCAAAGCAACAACTCGGAATCTTCCGTGATGAAGCCAGTACAAATGGAACTATTGCAAAACCCAGATACACCCAATGAAGAAATGGCCTCACAGACCTTTTGTGCAATCGCAAGAGCTGCCTCGTCCCTACTTATACATTGAGTGATGATCTCCGGAATTTCAACCACCAGACTCTGCGAACGATAGAAGAAGTCTCCCTTAGTCAAAGATCACACAATGTAACCAATCGGAATCCACAAAGAGAAAAATAAATGGCCAGAAAATGTAAAGATGACGAGTGACTGAGACAGAAACGTGAAGTGAATCCTTCGTTATTAAAGTGACAGACACTTTACCAACTACGAAAGTTGATACGAACAACCAGGGTTGGTACAGAATAGCTATCATTAAACAACAACCATGTTGACACGGATTAACAGCCATGGAAATGGTCATCGGTGGTTTTCTCAAACCAGCAATGACCATTCAGAAAGACTCGACCCCTTTGTCAGGTTTTCTGGTTGTCAGTATTGCCTGAGGTATATCAGAAAAACAGAAAATGGTGACAAAGAATAAATTAAGCGGCCATTCGAAACGAAAGAAAAGGCAACACTACAAAGTACTTGTCAATGATTGAAGTTGTTGTGAACTACGTGACCTGGATACATCCACCAGATTTAGTACGGATCAACTACAATTGGTCGCCATCAGTAGTATACTAAAATTATTGGTAGAAACCGCTGAACCCATAGTCAGCCCAGGTGTAAAGGACGCCTGGTTGTCATACGATCCCCGCAGTTGCAGGGGAAAAGTGCAAGGGTGATTGCCGTTTGACCCTTATGGCCCTCTCAAAACAGTAGTTTCTTCCGTGGCCATGGGAAGTGACATTCACGATCAACAACGCAAGGCTCCTGGCGGGACCCGCCGATGGTCAGACATGTCGCATTTTGTGTTCCATGCTGCAGATTCTGGCGCCTACAGTGTCACTTCCCAACACGGTGTGTGGCAGTGTGCCTTATCAATAGCGACTGTGTTCCATCAGGGGAGAAAATTTGAAGCCAAAACGGAGTAAAGATGTCATTCGACTACCAAAGAAACTAAGAAAATAAGTAATGAATAACTAAACATGGAACAACCACCAAGATTTGAACAGATTAACAACTATACGTGCCATGGTAACGGCCTGGTCCCCAAGTCGAGTCGAGCGCTACAACTACCACCGGTGTAGGTTAAACAACTGAATTAGTACGGATTTGCACTCGTCTTTGTCAGGATATATGTCAGTTTCATGTCTAACCCTCTGAAGTCTCGATTGGAAAAGAAAAAACCGTTTCAACCGAATCAATAAAATTTAGGTTCAATATAGATTCGTATAGTTGGTAAAGACTGAAGTAGTGGTTCAAACGTCCTAACCTTACGTCTAAAAGAGAATTGTGAAAAGGTTTTTGTTATTGTATCTCCATTTCAAACGATCGCGTAGAATATCAAGTACACTAGACTAAAATCAAGTACACCCCTGGTGAAGTGGGAGTCTTTTTCTCAAGGTAATTAAAGTATATGAAAGGTTGTTTAGGCACTTGTGAGACTCTTGAGCGGAGCGATAGTTATCGACCGCCAGAATATACTCCATCGGAATTCCTTTGTATAACCATGGACCTCACTCACTCACGTTCATCCTATTTCTTCGCTCTCTTTCCAGTGCAAGAAAAATTGTACCGAATGCCCCCAAGATAGTGTGTTTCAGAACAAAAGTTTCAAAACCTAGATTTAAAGCTTGACCCACCATGTATCATTCTCTCCCAAATTTCAGAGCGCAAATAAAGTGTATATAATATTTGGCTGGGCAAAGAGCGATTCAATAAGTATTGGGATAAGTTTTTTTATTAAAAAAAAAAGAGAGAAAAAATGGGTACCGTTCGCATAATGGGTCAGCAATTTTACATATTTTTTCCAAACGTTTCTATAATTAGGTACGGCTAGAATTATGCTTATGTGTCAATCAAGAGAGTTTGAATGCTCTTGAACCTATTGTATTAATTCTACTTTTTACTTGCATTACGTTTTTTATGATCTCGGCTTATAATTTAATTGCCATGTATTTAGCTATTGAGCTTCAAAGTTTATGTTTTTTTTGGTGAACTCAGCATCAAAAAGAGACTCTGAATTTTCCATAGAAGCTGGATTAAAGTATTTTATTGTAGGTGCTTTCTCCTCTGGAATATTGTTGTTTGGTTGTTCTATGATTTATGGGAGTTTACTGGAGTTACCAACTTTGAGGAATTAACTAAGATTTTCACTGGATATGAAATCACTTTTCACTTTGGATTATGCTAGCAATAACAAGAATGCCGGTTACAAAACGATGTTAAGTTGCCACCACAGATGAACAAGAGAGTAATTAGAACAAAACTGAAATAACAAAGTGGCGATCACTTCACACTACCGCCGATTCAGGCATGGCACAATGATAAAGACTATAGTTTGGCATCAGTTCTGGCATCACAGGTTAGCAACGTAAGTTTACAATGACAGACCCAATTAGACATGACCAACAAGCTTTGTTCTGTAAACACTGGGACTCAGAAATTCCCAATATATGGAGCTGACAACACAAAGACTGTTCATGACGTGAGAATAACAGCAAGTCAGATTCGAATCTTGGATAAACGTACCTGAATCTCATGATCGGAAGGAAGGGAGGAATAGGACGCGGTTGCAACCTTCGAAACAGCTGCGTCCAACTGGAAAGGAAGAGCCAGCAGACAAAGAAAGTCAGCCTTGAATCGAGAATCAGAGGGAGAAGAAATGCATGTCAACTGATAAATTTCACTATGAAATCAACTTCTCGTCAGAGTGAAGTACAGAGAGGCCCATTTCTGTAAAACAGAGAAGATCCCGAAGACAGTTACCTTTTGAACCACAACTTGATACTTTTCAATAGCCTCTCCAGTCGTTACAGACGGTTCCACCACGGATGAATTCAGTGACTCTGTTGGTAGCGGAGGCGATGCTGATGGGGCAATGGCGGGACCAACAATCTGTAAAAAAGCAACTGACTGATATGAAAAACAAATCCCCACACACAAGAGTAACTTAACCTTGATATTCCATTTGAACTAAACAAATTCGAAAACCAAAACGAAAATTCGTAACTTAGGGAACGGGAAACAGAAATCTATTAGTTCCTCATCAAGAGAATCAGTGTTCACATCACACTCTCACGCAAATACCCTGCCCATAAATAATTCCTAAGTAGAGCTTCTTGGTAAAACTAAAAACCTTCGCTGCAGCCTCAAGACCAGACCCTTCAATGGTAGGACTCCCAACTGGAGGATATACAGCTAATCCTCCCGTCCCATCTTGACTTGGCCGAGAAGCTCCGTCAGTTGCGATGACTGATCCAGCTGGAGTGAAACTGCGTGAGATAAACGCCACATTACATTTCCATGCAATCAGGTGTGGAGAGTAACATCCAGGGCAAAATATGTGGGGTTAGTCGGATATAGCAGATTCTGACTGCACATACTAATGGCAACAATGGGCTACCCAGTAGGTAATAGCAGTAAGATGGTACTATCCATGTAAGCGAAAAAGTCCAGAGATGAAAAACTCAAGGTCTTTGCGGAACGGACCGCCTTAAAAATGCAATAAAAATTACAGTTAGACCCTAATCCGGGACTCAGAATGAACTAAGATGTTGACTAATTCTAAGGAGTGTTGCAGAATAGAGCAAACACGAATAGAAGGTCCAATCTTTCTAGAAGAATGGACGATCTTATCCGGTTAATGGCAAGTTAATCTTATCCTCAACTTGTAAAGCCACATTTCCAAAAGAAAAAACACAGAATAGACAACATGGTGGTAAACATTAGTTGATTGATCCCCAAAAACTAGGCAGTCTGGACCACGCAAGAAATAGAAAGTTCCTGCACAAATTAAAATAATCAGTGCCAAACTGTTAAGAATGGAGGATGATGAGTTTATATGGAACCTCATAGGTGAGTTCGCATGATGCTCCAACTCATCTGAGCTGAGTTCTGAGGGCTGCGCTAACGCCCCCAGTCCAGAAGTAGGAGTCGCGCCAGAACCGATAAAAGAACTTCCCGAACCCTGAGCGGAAGTAACTATGTAAGGTCCTCGGCTCGAGCCAGGTCCCAAGGTAGAGATACCAGGAGGAGCAGCAGAGCCAACTGGAGCGACAGTGCCTTGACTGGGCTGGTTTTGCCACGGCAATCTCGCAAAATCCTGCACGTTCATGGCGCATAAGTAACTGAAAGCACGGAGCCAACAAAGTGCTAGAATGAGAAAAAATTCAAAACGTCTCATGACCAAGACGTACTTCGTATACACGTTGCTGAGAGTTAGACAAACGGCCAGGCTTCGGTCGTAGAGCTTCTGGTAACCGTGCAAGGTTTCCTTGAGAATAAGTTGAAGCATCGTAGTATGTCGCACCCAAAGCCTCTCGCTGTTTACGACGAAGAGCAAGAGAAGGACCAATGGCCTCTTCCAAGTCTCTAAGAGCCTGTGCATATAGAAAATTGGTGAGCTGGTCGAGTACATATCGAAAAACAGCCCGACATCATCTTACCGGCAATAAAATAGAACGACATAGACAGGCCAAAGTGTTCGATACAGCCGAATTCTCATCATTCCCATCCACTCTAAGACACATGTCAGGCACCAAATAGTTCCTATGTTCAACCAAGAGAATTCCAAACGCTAGGACCCGTTTACCTCAACACGCAAGACCAGTATATAGACATGAAAACAAACCTTCTCTGTTGCAGCCTTCTCGATGACAGCGCAGCCAAGATCAAGGTTATCATTCGTCACGAGCTGGACGGCTTGCTCCAACACGTCACCTCCCACATGAGCTTGGAAAAGGCTTCTTAGATGATTGGCCATGGCCACACGCAATGGTTCCTGCAGTTTCACATAACTCAGTAGGAAGAAAAGTTGGGAAATGTGCCCATCTTGCAGAGCGCTCTTCCAGTACACAGAAAACCACATAAGGAAATTCCACATAGGCCAAACAGAAATCAGAGTCGTGAGATGGTCAAATGACGAATTGTGTTCATGTCTCGTAACAATAAGCCACTTGACTATCTCAGACGTACGTATTACATTCAAATAAGACCACAATGCGGAAAGAAGTGATACACCGATTCCCTGTCGCCAATAAGTAAAACTTACCTTACAAGTAACGTGGGCTAAACTCCCTGACAAACTAGCTACCATCAGATTTGCTGACTGGTGAGTTCGATTCTCATCTGCCTCCATAGCATAATCCTGAGGGTAAACATTTCCCATCAAAATCAAATACGTGCCACCATACTCTTTTTCTGAATTAATAGTTCCACAAGAATCCAAATCGCCTCAGAGATTCTGATAACCTTTTAATAATTATCACGTCTCCATAGTGTTTGCAAGCGAAATGGGTTGTCCCTAGCACAGAGACTAGTGTTAAATTCATTCACGAATCAATCAACCCACTTGCAGTATCTCAAGCAAGCAGAAAGTGCAAGCCATACACTCAGTGCAAAGACAGCATAAAGCAGCACAAACCTTGATAACAAGCTCCCGGGTTGTCATGCAGGCAATCGTAACGCTCCGGTCCACAACAGGAGATATTATTTCTCGAATAGCTCGCTCCATTGCCACAGGCACAATCCTAAAATTCCGACAGCTAATAAGTTCCACAACACAACCATTTTTTATCCTTAAAACCACCTAATGCGAAGACAAAACTGAAGTTCGAACCATCAAGTATTGTACCTCGAAAGGTGCAACTGTTGACCCAAACCTGCCAGCTTTGGATTTATGACGACGTAAGCCGTTAAGTTCGGAATAGACATCGACACCTGCGGAATTGATAGATAGCGTTGATGCAATTAGGGCTCTAACATCAGATTCGAAGTAGGATTCATCCATAGAAAAATTGAACATCAGGCCAGATCGTTCGTAGTACCTGACCAACAGAATACGGAGATGGTGAAGGAGTTCCAGGTGACAGTGCTTGACCAGAAACAGAGCGCTCTGAAACCTGAAGTGACACTACTTTCTCCTCTTCCTGCTGTACAGGAGTTGAAGACAAGTGTGCGGACGGTGCGAGCTACAAGCCAAGAAAAAAAGTTTGAATCACTGTTAAAGGCCAAAACTGAAAATCATACCGACATAACAGTCACCAGTAACAAAATATGTATTGTAGTAGGAATCTCAACTCCTCTCGGAGTCTCACTGCTAAGTCAACCAATGAACTCACTTTCTGCAGTCTGACACGTACCTGCTGAGCCAATGCTGGTGTATTAGAAGGTAGGCTGCTTTGAGGCTCAGAAATGGTTATCGGTGGTTGTGGGTGAAGGGTCGCATAATCCTTGTTGGAAAAGTCAGGATTTCCCTCTATTTCTCGTGGCCTGCCTTTCAAAAGCTGAGTTGGCTTCACATCCTTCATGTCGACTCCAAGGTTCTTGTATAGGACCTGTGTTTGCGCACGGTATATAGAAAGTTTGGTGACAACTTCCCGCTATAATGGTTCTCTTCCAGTGATTCGATGGCATTTGAAAACTTGCGAAGATTGCTATATAGAATATGCAGCCAGAAAGACAACGATTATGGAGTACACAAAACTCAAAGAATGGCATACCTCGATATCGAACTTCAAGTTCATCTTCAGGTTTGGAAGTGCATAGATTTCAGCTAACAAACCAAGAATGCCCATCGTCCATGGATTCGGGGGCTGATAAGCTAGACTGGATTGACATGGCTCGAGTATCTGCAAGGTAGAGCCGGAAAATAAACAAAAAACACTAGTGTTCAGATGCAGATCACAAGATGTAAAACTAGCAATCAAGTGTCCATATACATATGAACAAAAGGGTTTCTTCTTGATAACTCAAACTTGTTGTTCGGATCATGTCTTACGAACCTTAGAAGTGAAAGGAATCACGGCGATCATCAGACCCTTTTCGTAAGCCTGTAAAGTTCATAATTGAAATACAGAAACAAAAAGTGAGGAAGCGAAGTGAGTAACCACAAGTACTTCCGCTGAGAGAGTAAAATTGGAGCAAATTTAAAATTTCTCAACGTTTTCATCTTCCTTCGAAAAGTAAGTAAACCAAAGACGGTGACGATAGACGGCGCACAACTACACGTAGCACAAAAAAAACCAGCGTATTTAGCAAACAAGAATACGACTCCCTGAATTCATGTAACGCACCTCAGTGATCAACGACTTCGGATCAATCTCCTTTGCCCGCAAGGTTTGGTTTCTTCCGATTGTCAGCTTCCCAAGCCAGCTACCCAAATTTTTCAACAGCGACCGTTCTTCTGAACTAGACTTTATGAGCTCAGATCTTAAAAGGACCTACAAAGTCCAATAAAACAAAAAAGGACCCAAGCGTTTATGTGATGTTCACCACAAATTCCCTACTCCAATGATACCAACAGCTTTCGCACGTCAAGGTTTGAACTTCACACTTCAGAATGTTCTAACAGTAAGTAGAGTGTGTAACTATGTCTAAGTCCTATGTGAGGTTTGAATGTTTAAACTGATGAGACTTATAACGAAGACGATGAACAAAATCCTGAAAAACGGGCATAAAAGAGCCAACAACGCTCCTACCTTGCAATTTTCATAGGTTGCCTTCACAATTTCCTTGTGAAGATTCTTGGAGCTGATTTTGTCCAGAAACTTCAAGTACAAATCGTGGAAGTTGGGCTCGATGCTAGCCCTGAAAGACGAAGGACAAAACGAAATATATCAACAATCTTATCGTGAAATAGTCGATGCATCCACAACCTCAGTACAGAGAGATGATGCAAAATCGAGCAGCACGTTTGCATCGACGGGATGGAACGAACTGCCATCAAACATCATACCTTTTCATCACCATGTATTGAGCAAACCAAGGATAAAATAAATCCTTAACAGCCTCCAAGAACTCTTTCGCTTTTGGTTCCAGATTAGCAGTGGATATATTGTTGATAACAAACGCCACCTTGTCTTGAACCTCCAAGTTTGGCGCCTTCAGAGGACGTAACAACCATCAATGAATGACATTCCTATTTAAAATACAATACGATATTGATAAAGTCCGGCAACGCTTTAAACAGAGGCCCAGCGAAAGCAAACCCACCTCAATTTGTATGTCTCGTCTCTCAGCCGCTGCAACCAGAGTCTCTATGTTGATAGCATGGCCAAAACCTGCTGCAATAGAAGGTTGGCGTAATCCACCTGAAGACGTCACAACGCAGCGATACATTAGAATGAACACAACACCGTTCCACATAATTAGCAAAAAACAAGAAGCACACTCATATGTGCAGTTGCATTGGCATACATATGTTAAAAGTCGCGAAAATAACAGCAGAAATTTAATGAGGACAAGAGATAAGAAACGAAAGCTACTCAACAAAATTCTTAACTCTGGTTAGGAAAGGAACATGCTGTGAGAAACATACTCGAGAGACCGCTGCGCGAAGATCGTTGGAAATTCGACGCTACAGTCGCCAGTTGTCCATTTCCTGATGTCTGATATGAGCTGGATTGTATCGACTGGGAAGACTGTCGTTCAATCACAATGATTATTCAACAAAAAACACCCATGATTGAAATGAATCCAGGAAGTATAAACATTACCACTCTCAGACTATGATCACCCAGGGCAGCTCCTTTGAAACGGACTGTAGGATTTTCATCATACAACTCTTAAAGCACTCGGCAGCTGGATAAGAACACAATACTTCCAAACCCCAAGTTCAAGTATAAAGTGTGCACATACACGAGACTGAAGTGTAACCTGAATTTTCCAGGAGTTGGAGAATTCCAACTCCTGTCAAAGCACATGACCTACCTTCACCGACTCACAACTGTTTACAGAATATCGAAGCACCGAACTGACTCAAACACACGATCCAAGATCCCAACCGCCCATATTGCACAGAGGCAAAGAAACAAGAAAAGATTTCACCAGGCACCTTTGTGTCAAACAGACTAGTAGTAGTCTGAGATGGAGCCAATTGCGGGCCCTTGCCACCGAAATTGAGTGAAGCTCCAGTTGACTTGTGCCTATCTTCCAAAGCTTGCTGCTGTTGCTGAAACTGCTGCAAAGCAAGTTGCGCCGCCTGAGGCGCTTGCTGCTGAGCGAGCTCTCGATGCTGTATTGGTCCCGCGCTGGTTAGAACCATGCCTTCAGAGCCCTGAAGGAAGAAGTTTGTCACGGGTCAAAATAAGTACTGAAATATCGAAACTGCAATATAGAAACTCGTTTTCTTACCATATTCACGCCCGGACTGACGCCAACCAGCAAGCTACTAAAACTACGAGAAATCAAGACGACAAACGATAGGAGCGACGAAGGAAGCCTATAAAGAACGACCAAGAAAGGAAAATACACAGATATAAAATAATAAGCATGTTCAATACAGAAGCGCTATCAAATAGTGCAAGCCACGTATGTAAACACGAATCAAACCTACAGTTCAACGCAGTTCGATCCATATCATCAATCCACTCATCTAATCCAGCTCAGATGATCATCCGGTTCGTCGCTGGCCAGCAAGCTGCCTAAACTTCGAGAAATGTAGATAAAATTCGACAGAGAGGAGGAAGAGCCTTAAAAAATAACGCCAAGGCTGACATACCTCCACTGAAAACCTTGATTGGGATGGCGAGGGTCCCACAAACTTTCTTTCTCCGACATCTGAATTTGTAGTCAATGCACTACCCGTAGCAACCTCAAGTGGTTCTGGAGCAGATGCATTTGAGGTGTTGTAGACCGGCCCGGAACTGACTTGAGTTTGCTCTGCTAGTGATACATTCCCAATAACTTCCGACTGGCTTGAGGATACTCGGGCAAGTGCACGTTCAATGAACTCCATCAAGTCACTATGGGCATCCCGCATGTGAGAGATTTGCAAGATGTGGTTGCAATATTGCGGCCATTCTACAAGTCGATCCATGAACTGCTCCAAAGCAGTTAACCCAAACGAAAACATCTGAACCACAGCGAGACAAACAGTCAATCTCACACAGAAACAACCACAATCGTTGTCCATTTCGATAATAACGGTACAGAATAGTTGCATTCATAAAAGCATGCAACGTCTGTACAGATAGAATTCAGTCAATCTCACACAGAAACAACCACAATCGTTGTCCACTTCGATAATAACGGTACAGAATAGTTGCATTCATAAAAGCATGCAACGTCTGTACAGATAGAATTCCGAAGTCACCTTCGTGTCAAGTGGCTTCCGAAGAGCATCCAAAACACAGCGCAGGGCGATTCCCAAGGTCAAAGATGACACCAGTTGATGCTTGATAAGAGATCCTGAAAATTCAGTGCGCCTGTTCATATTAGACAGGTACAAAAAAAGTTTGGAAACGAAGTGAATGCACGTCGCTCACGTGACAGTTGTTGATAAATGAAGAAGAAAACATTCGAAGATGGCAACATAGGAGGACAAGCATGCAATCAGAGGCTGACAATATGAAAAGAGGAAACCCATCGAACACTAGATGGATATAAACAACACAGAAAAGTCTTCAATAAGGATCCTTTTAAGTGCTTACCAAATAACACGGCTGTGATTTTGAGCTCCCTCTCCGGATATCTTGGAAAGAAACGATATTCATCAAACAGACTCTGAATCATACAAGCAAATATTTCTTGTTCCCTGCATAACGTATTGACTTCAGCATAACCATAAAGATCAGATTTCAATTGACAAATTTTAGACTTGAGTGCGCTGCCTTGATCAGTACAACATCGTTCGCTAGCGAACAGAAAGTCAAACCTTTGAACTCGAGATTCATTGAAACGCTCCAACATTCCCACCACGTCCTCGATGGTCAGTTGACCGACGTAAATCTTTTGAAAGTATGAGTTAGCTTCTTCCTCGATATCTGCTGCAAAAACTTCAGAAGGTGACTGCTCTGAAGCACCGACACTAAGAAGACGAGGATTGATCCGGATCGCAGAGTTGTAAACCCGCTTTAGCTCCTCTGCAAGATCCCGAGAGGACAATCGGCCAATGTTGGCCTGCAAGACCTGCAAGCTCACGCACGAGCTTCACGGTTAATCAAAACTGCTTCATATTCATCCGTGAATGTATAATGTAAACTACAGATAATCATTCACGTTCAGGTAATTGTGAATCTCACCTTAAAAATCAGGGCCGTTGTCTCCAGTGAGAGAGTAATTGCAGGTCCTGATCGTTGCCCATCGACAGTTCCACCGTTCTGACCTTCATTACGAGCTTCTACCAAACGTCTTTCTCGTAAGAATTTTAAACAAGCCTGTACACCAGAACAAAGTCAGTCGACAGCAAAATTGAAACTACTAAGATAACTTCGTCCCAAGTTGAGTAAGATTCAATTATCAAATGCAAGAGTTCCCACCTGGAAAAAAACATCGCGATGAAACGTGATGTTCTCTTGTAACCACTGCTCTAAGTTTAAGCACTCCCTCCTAGATGCCAGGGCAGCAAGATCGATTGCAAAAGAAAAGGGGGTAGTCTCCAAAACGACGGGCAGAGTCTGAAAGCAATAACACATTGTGTCAGTCCAGGAAACGTACGGGGTGAAGTTCTCCGCATTCGTAATTCCTACGCCTAGAGGGCAACAGTGTCATACTTGTAACACAAAAGACTCATAGGTTGGGCTCAAAATGTTCCAGCAAACAACCAAAATCATCACAATAAGCTTCGGGGAAACAGATATAGATGGGAGACGGGAGAACGACGAGGAAGAAAGTACACATCTTACCTTCAGTTCCTGACAAATGTCCAAAAATCTGGATAAATGGGTCGGATCCTTGGAATGCATTTCGACCATGCCTCGGGTTACGATTTCACCATTTACAAACCGAAGTTGTTGTAAAACAGCGGTGTGCGCAGCGCTATTGAAAACTGCAGGCAAAAGTGCCGAAAAAATTTCGGACTGCAAGGTGTTCCAATCGGTCTGGAAGGGGAATATATGCACAGTTAGCCGGATAGACTCTAGTCTGAATCAAAAACAATAAATGCACCGTTCAAACAATAAACAGTTGTCAACCCTGGTCCACAAATAATACATGTTGAGGTCAGCCCAGCGGTTTCTCAATCTCATGCAACGATACCTAGACCTATGGTTGACAAGACAACGTACTGCCCAGTACAATACAAGGTAACGCAGACTAGTGTGCATACCTTCACTTTGGCCATTCCAAGTAGCAACAGTTCCGGACAGTTCTTTAATGGAAACTCAAGCAGTGAACGAACACTACTGTATTGTCCAGCTTCGCCTAAGCGACACAACACTTCAAGGAGGTCAAGCGACAGCCATGCATGATTCGGTGTAACATTTGAAGACCTTTGGCCAGGTATGCCCTCAATTGGTGCCTGCAAAGATAACGACGGCCTCAGAATGTGGCACTAAGTCGTCCAGTTATTACAATTAGCGAGATAGATCACCCAGGTCGAACAACCATTCCGTGATTCATTCACATCTTGTCGATAACGACAACTTCCCATGTCTAATTACGAACACAAGTCAGCTACACTGCGAGGTTTATGATCTTCAAGCCATGACGGAATAATAATAAACACTATTTAGTAATGACGGTCTGAAACGTTGACGTAATTACCACGTGGCGTGCCCACGAACCTCCTACAGGGACCTTAAGAAGGCAGAACTCTCAAACGAAGAATTTGACTTCTACGTGTACCTGTTTCCTTGGAGAATGAGCAAATGTGAATACGTCAGGGGGTGCTGCCACAGCATATCTTAGAAAAGACATCTGTCCATCTCCATTCTTCCAAAGTGTTCCACACACGGCCTCTATTGGAAATGGTTCCTGAAGTAGAGAACACAAATGCGACCAAATTGTTAAAGGCATTCGAGAAGGTGACCAGCGTTCTCAACGAACGAGAAACAGGATAGTAATTTCAAATTCACTCTGCGTAGATGACAAACACAAAGTCGGGTTGTTCCTGATTTGTTCCAGAGTAATATGCACAAAGGTTTACAAAGTTCCAACTTCCAAGTGGAGAAATTGCAAAGCTATACAGGAGGACAGAACCTATTGAAAAGACATTGACTGCGCCATAACTAGCTAGACCTAAAAATCCCACATCGAATAAATCGGATGGTGACAGCCTACCTGGCAAGCTTTGGAGTATATCGTCATAAGAAGTGAGAATGCCTTTTGATCTGGTAAAAAAAATCCCTCATAATCCAAATTCTCAATGACCGAGATCCAATTCAGATCCGGCACCTGAACGGACCGAACGGTAAAGAAGAAAAGTGTTAGGAATTCGTTTAAGACTTCTCGACGACGTCTGTTATCGACTTCTCAGAGACGAACAGTCCGACACTTGCGTGTGAAATAAACTGCGCGACGAGAAGTCAATCTATGCACGGAAGAGATCTTACCAGTTGATTCAGGGCATCCAAAAGCACATCCACGTTCCAAGTACTGACGTAGTCAGGTAAAAGGTGTTCGGTACTACAGAGTGCCGTGCTGAAAGTTCCATGTGTGCCTTGAGCATCATCGAGTCCTTTGTGCGTCCTGGCAATCATCCCTACAAGACGGGCAACGTCTTTCGCAGTAATGGAGGGGAACAAAGCGAGTATCTCCTTGAAACACTCAACATCACTAGTACAGCTGTACCCCAATTCTTCCATCACGGCTGCAGCATGGTTAGCATTTGTAAGCTGCTGCACCATGTCGTCAGATGTGTACAAGCCCGAAGAGGAGAACTTCTCGAACTTCCTGGAAGGTGATCATTTTTTAGAATCATTTATCAGAATCGAACATCTCTGTACTTTCACTAAAGAGGCAAATCACCGATGAAAGCAGGGGCCACAAACGTCAAGACCGTACCTGAGACAATTGACTTCGTTAACTTCCTCCCGGAAATGAGGAGTTAACATCAAAGAGAACTCCGCATTTGGCGCTATAGAGACCAAAGCCTTAAAAAAAGCTGGAAGATGCTTGGAGAGTGCTTCACTCTGACGAAGAAAGAAAAATATGTCTAAAATCAAACCATGCGTTACAGCTGCCGAACTCTGACTTAGTTCCAAAATCTTCAACTCACAAAAGCTTTGACCTGCCATAAAGAGGAGAAAGACGTCCACAATCAGAATAATGAGGCCAAAAAACTAGATCTTCTAAGTATTACTCAAGTACCTGAAAGAAAGATTCCAAAAACCCCAGCAGGCCTATCACAGTCCATGTAACTTTATGTAAATTACAAATATACAAGGAGACCTCTGTTTCTGCTCCACGTCTTACCCTCTTGGCGATGTTTTAAATCTTCTGCATTTGACAATGCCAGACCAAGAGCAATTTGTTCTGGTATCGTCAACTTCAGCGCTTTTGAGAGATAATCCAGAAAGTCTTCACTGATAGATACAATTTGCCTCACAGCTTCACAAAAAATAGTGGCAAAATTTGGTTGATGAACGAGCTCTTTAATAACAGACGCTAAGAGCTCAAGTTTCAACTGCAAATTTTGCACTTCTCCTTCCCTTTTATTTACTTGCTCCAGGCACATACGGAGCACAAGAACGCTTGCATCTATCCCATACTCCGTCAACTGATAAGAACAACCCACTGCAAGTCAGATACATTTTGACACAACGAGATTCCAAAGCCATCACTCCCACGGGCAGCCGATTGCTTTGCTTAGCTACGCGACTTACTGCAAGTGATTAACGTTTGTTACCTGATGTACGCTTTCAAGTGGTAAATAGTGCAAGGAAGATAGCAGTTCATACATAGTACAACACACGGAGTACTACCTACCAGTTCACATTGGACATACATATTCACATCTTTCCCAGGGTCGACGGTCTAAATTGAGTCAAGCCTCCGTGATTCCAAGATTTCATGGTTTCCTAGCGTGGACCCCTCACGAACATGTTGGGTCACCGTAAGACCTAACTACATGATCAAGCGTACTGTGGGAGGTGCTATCCAGGTATGAATGCAAATGCTTAGGTCTCCTGGACAATGGCAACGTGATCGCAAAAGAATACAGCTTCTAGGTTCGCAACTACTACATCCTGGAATATCTTGATGGTGTTGACAGATGATTTGATGGTGCCCACAATTTAGCCAAACTAAAACCCAATCAAGGTTTATACCCAGACTTGACCCACTGGCATGTCTTATACTCTATCCTCCAGGCTTACTGATTTCCTGTTATGTGCAAAATGTGGGCTTCAGTGTTACATAGTGCTTATTAAAAGTCATCCAAAACACCTTTGTCTAATCTAACTGCGGCTTCTATGGATATTACACTTAACACATCCAATCAGGCATCGATGATGGGCCGAAAGAGGTTCGAACCAAACAAAGTCGTCGCTGATCTTTTGCACTATGGTCAAGTTCAGTCCACAATTGGTACAAGCACCAATCTTTCCTTCAGGTGGGACAGGCTCTGATCTTCATTGAACTCCCACTCCTCCCCAATTGCTTTCCTGAGAAGCATTAGCCCTACGTTATGAAACTGAGTTCCTGGCCTATTACCACGTCCATAGCTTATATTCTTGTAAATACGCTTGTGGAAATGAAAACGTAATTAGCGGTTTTTCAGTTGTGAAAAAACGCTACAAAGGTTGGGAATTAGAGTTTATTTGAAGAAAGGGGCTGGGGCAATCATGACCGATCTAGACGACGAGAGTGACTGCTCAGTGAAGGGGATTGTATACGTTGACGGTGCAAGACCTCCCAAAGCCCGGGGATGGCAGACAAGCCTAAGAAGGACCAGGGTTACATGAACTCCCAAGGTTTCAACTCCAGGATGCACCGTCACAAGATGCATCCGGGACTGACATTGGGGGCCACATGCTTCGAGATAAATGGTGAACGTATTTCGAAAGTTGACGGTCGACCAATACCATGCGCCTACTCGTCGAAAATTGACAGTTCAAACGGGCAGAATCCTATTTTAAAGCCTCCTCTCATGGAGGCTCTCTGGAAATAGACATTAGATGTCCCTCCGAGTCCATAAAACTTGATGGGCAGCGTAACAGCCTCCTTCAATCTCACCATGAAGCATATACCTTCACAGAATCTTGTATCGACTCATATACATGGTGCATTACGAAGCTGAGAGATGTTTTAGATCCTGCCTAGCTAGTAGAAGCTACAGCATGTCAGGCTGATAACCTAAAAGGACGAAGTGATTCATGAGACAAATAAGGAGCCGGCAGAATGGGAAGTACAAACCACTGAAAATTCGAGCATACCTTGCTAAGCTCAAGCACTACAGACTTGTAGTTGCTCTTGTTCAAGATGGCAATCAGTAAGCCAATCTGGCTCGCAAGAGAAGAAGCGAAAGATAACATGGCTCGACTTCCCGGCGCTCGCCAAAACCTCCGGTTATCAAAAATTCCCCTTCCAGCCAATCGCGAATAGTCGTGCCTTCAGCCTCACTAAACTCCAATTTTCCTAAACATGGCCGGTCCTGTACAACAAGTTTGTCCTGACACTACGCACTTTTGTCTCAAAAAAACTCCCCACTTCGTGCACACCCGACTGAATTATCTAGAGCCAGCCTTGCAAAGGACTCGACTTGGGTCCGGGAACTTGCCACTCCTTCGAATGCAGGATGAAATCGGCGAGGATCGAGCAGTTCCTGCCCTGAATGAGTACTAATCGAGCACACCTTGCCAAGGATCCCAAATATTCTGCCTAAATCTGCATCCAAGTTCACCTCCTGAACCTCGTCTTTCGAGCCAAATCCCCAGAAGTTGTAGCACACGGGCGGACTCAACAAACACACACGCTATAGTACAGAGGGTACACCGTGATCACCTCACTGTCGTTCTTATCTACTTCTCCATGCTCACCTTCCCTGTTTCCCTCGAGTCACCACTGAAAACAAACCCCGCTAATCATCGCCCCTGTCATTTTGTCTCCTCCCTGAATGTTCCGCCTCTACACTCTCCTTCTCTCGCCCTGCACCGCTTGCTGATTCACCGACTCACTTGCCACATATACAAATCAGAATCAGTCGCAAAGAACAAATCGCTCCACGACGGACGCGACGATGCTCGCTTGCTCGCTCTCGGCACACCGACGATACAACACACTACTACTTCTGGCCTTTCAGCTTGCCGTTCAAAATTGGGACGAGGGAGCGCTCAGAGAGTCTGGGTTCGTGCGATGGACGAATGAATGAATGAATGTACGCACTGCACTACTCACCCGACTGCAGCAGAGGCTGTGCGTGCAGAGAGTGGAACAATGAATGAAAGGAATGCGAGCTTGCTAGGCTCGAAGAAAAGCTTATTTTAGGGTTGTGAAGGTCTCTGCACGCAATTCTTCTGCTTCTTCGCCAGCAAAAGAAAGGGGAAGAGATGATAATGCTCGCTCGGCCTTCCTACTACTTTTGCCTCCTGCTGCTCTTACTGCCGCTGCCCTTCCCTCCGTCTTCTTACCTGGCGAATAAAGTCCCTTACCTCGCTCCCACCCTCCCTCGCTCCCTCCAGTAAGAGCCAACGTGCCCCCTCACCTACGCCAACCTCATTGGTCCCTCCGAGTTCCAGCCCCACTTCGCCGACCGGAAGGTGTACAGGTCACGTCAACCGGGTTGAAAACTCGCCCCTCCCGACTGACTGACTGACTACACATTCCTCGAACCCGAGCTGCACATGAGCGTGAAGCCGGCACTGTGCTCTGCGGTGGCCATTCACTCCTTTCGATTTTATACAAATTTCAGTACTGTACTGCGTACAGTACTGAAAAACCATGGTAATGGCATAATCGGGAAACGAGCTGTGTTGGCATGAACATTGGCTGGATCGCCGGAGAGGTCACATCAGAAGAGGCCATCCTGCACCGAAGTTTCACGTTTATCAGCATCGTCAACATGCGCTTCCTTGGGCCAACATTAAAATGGCGACTCTCCACATCGCTGCCTTCCGGCTTCGACAGCTATATATTCAGGTGAGATACAGCCGTAAGCTGTAGAGAATGACACATATAGCTAACCGGTAAGTTTCACTTATGGAGATAAACTTCCTGATTATCACTTCACGGGCATGGCCTACCAGTTCACGTGCTTGGAGCTAATCTAGTGGTGTCACATTCGATATCTGATGTCTCCCACGATAAAGCAAGGTATCTTACACAAGACCACCCGAACGGTAGAGGTTGAGAAAGATAATAAGGGAATTTTAGCTGCATTTAGTAAGCTGGAAGAAAAGCTCACTCCATCATCTTCACCGAGTTGCAGATATTCTAACCGGGGCACCACACAAACAAAATTGTTGGAACTAGATTCCGATCTAAATCTCCTTCTTAGTCAGATAGTAAATCTTTTGGTAACTCAAAGGAAACCAGTAGACTGTACTTCCAACGAATGAAACGCAAGGTCCTTTGCTCTCGTCCTTCGATTCGTTCTGACTTAATGGGCAGTGAAGTTTCCAGGTGGGTCTAGCTCTCGGGATCATCTCTCTCCTTTCAATCTACATCTTGTTCCATCAGAAACAAGACCTATAGACTACATCACTGGGCATCTCCAAATGCGACTCAGCTGTTTATCTTTTTTTACGCATCCATCACCTCTGGCACATCGTCTGCAGGTGGGCTTTGCTTCTGAGAGTCCGGAACCAGGTCGTATATACATTTGCTCTGAGAGCAGTTGGTGGTCATGGTAGACTTCTTGAACCGCGCTATCTCATAAGAGATAGAGTAGAGAGAAAAAGTAAACAGTCGGAATAATTCGCGGATTAGCTTCAGGATCGAAATTTTCTCGAAGTGGGCACACTGTCTCCTTAACCTTACACCCGCACAGCCGGCTGTTCTTCTTCTGTTCCGGTTCCTCGGTGACTTCACCTCGGTTTGTAGGTTAGGATGGCCCCAGCCTCCAACGGAACCATTATTTCGAAACTTAAACGTCACCCGCTCCAATGATCCCATCGTCGTCCTTTAATCCCATTTTCCCAAAAAAGAGAGCCATAGTTCGAAAGCACTTTCATTCCGGTGAACGGTAGCTTTCCCTCTTTTAAAAGAGAAGGGCGTCTCATTTAACGTACCTATAGTTTTTCAAAAATCCTTTCTTAGTGAGGTCCGTACTACTTCCCCATCTACCCGACGAAATATGCGATCCAACACTGTGGATACTCTGTTGATGTTTTCCCTTTCAGTTTGTTATCTCCATCGTACGGAGTTCCAACTCTCCTACGATACGTCTGCTAAAGCTGATGGTTCAAGTTTCTCAGGGGCTTATGACGCTTTACACAGATTAGATTATTAAATTAGATACAAAGATATCAATTAGGTTGGCCGGTTGTGTTAAATCGAAATGCTCTGAGAATCAATTAATGGTGGCTAAACTGTTCATTGCAATTGAACTTTATGAATAATGTCACGAGTACATTATGATATGCATATGTCCCACAACGTACTCGTGATACGGGATGCACATTGCTGCATAAAATTCACCCCGGTCCAAGTGTAGAATCATATTAGAAAGTAATATCATTTTAGGGCTTGGTGGTATCTTTATGTTGTTTACTTGATCCCTTTTTCTCAAAATCGAAAACTGAATTACGATAGAACACCCTTCAACATCAAGTCAATGAAGTAATACATTAAAAATCCAAACGTGAAAGATGGAGCTAACCAGGTGGTATCGCAATGTAAAAAATATACTACTTGGTCTATCCCACCTAAAATATCTAATTCTTACATTCAATGTATGATATAACCATCTGCATTAGTATCATAAAACATTATAATTTACCTATTGATTATCATAGATAATTAAGGTTGTACTTAAAAGCAGTACAACTCTGAACATTTATCAGTTCCAAGAATGCTGGACTAATCGGAGTTGTAATGAGACTGGAAATATGTCCAGATAACGTCCACATTTGTTCTGAATTGGATCAAATAAAATACGCGTCCATACTAGTTGCACTAAGTATGTACCTAACATATTTCACATAACTTACACCGTAATCTCGTACAGAAACGGGACCTCTCATTCATGCAATACAACGTACACATTTCAATGAGGTCTGAATTTTTACTTGCTCTAATCGTTTGCATTTTGCAGCAGTATGATATCAGTACATGATATAATACTCTTCCGTGGCTTAGTAGTAAGTCATAATTCCTTACTAAGGAAAACAGAACTGCAAGTTTCTACGCTCGTCAGAATGTGCGTGGGCCCATACGAAAAGTGAAACATTAAACCAAGCAGATCATGGCTTCTCCATCCGCAACAGCTCATATCACATCAGTTACTGATTAGCTGTGTAAATAGTACACCTAAGGAGACCGGTAGTCCACCGCAAGACATGGAGTCCTCCACTGTTTCCAAAACATTACTGCCGTCGAAACATTAAGTCGAAACAAAGCATTCAATAAGGTGAGAACAGGTGAGAACCTGTTCGCCAGGTTGATTATGACATGTCGTTTCAGGAAACCCAAAGCTTTAGCCCCATAGAACAAGAAAAGAAAATCGTAGACGTGCAGTACAGTATATGCTTCGAAATTGGTGGTGGTGATTATGTGTAGCATTTAAGTATGCTATCTGAAACCTATCTCAGACGATTTTGGGAGGCTTTGGGATATTTGAAGGGGTCACATATTTCCTACAACAACATACTTCGGTAGTTGGGTTTGAAAAAAAATTCTTAAAGAAAAGATTACAAACATTTATGTCATCTGTACTGCGTCGAAAGAGCATCTGCAGAAGCTTCAACACCATCTCTTTGAAGAACTTATGTACATCATGTTTATGTATGATAAAGTTAACAGACGTTAAATAAATATTTGTAGAATTTATACCAAGATCCTCATTGAAGACTACAATAATCAAATGTCTGATCAATTTATGATCAAATGCTTGAAATTGCAATAACAAAAGATGAAAAATGTAGTGAGTTAATTCACTACATAGCTCAGGCCAAATATAGTCATACGATTTTGTTATAACACTATCTTCTTCTGTGGCATTTTTTTTAAATGTTACAATAATGTGGTATAAGATTTGTCGACTGACAGTACATACATGCTCAAAAATATAACCATATAGAATCCGATATTTTAAGAACAGTATGATATATATATCATTTGCACACTAGATAAACATGACAATTACAAACTTTGATTCGTCATATTTAACTTTCAGTTTTTATTTTCAAATCAAGATTGTCAATTGTTTATGATTGAAACTTAGAATGATTCATGTTCAAAATTACTGTATAAAGCTTAAAACTGAACATACATGTAATTTGAAAACATCAGCTTGCTTCATTCAAAATCTGTGCAACACACACACACACATGGATATTACAAAATACTATACTTTTTCTAAATGTAATCTTCTGGATTTAATGAATTTCAATATTTTCTCAACTTTTTTCCAATTTCAATAAAAAAAATTAATAAATTTTTCAAAAAAGTTGGTATCATTATCTATCGTGACGTCTTGCTATTTTACTTAATTTTTTCAATAATAATAAATTTGAAGTAAATGATATTTAATCTAACATCTTATATGAGCTGCATAACATTTACTGTTATTTCCATACATAGGTCACATGTTAAGTTTCAATATTTGGAAATTTTATTGATAAACTTGAGTTGCACAAAAACTTATACTTCATATGAGAAATACATCCCTTTATTTCTTTGCAATTACAAATTTACTGAATCATGAATGAAAGATTTAATTTCACGATTTTTTTCTGAATAATTCAAGAATGCTTGTTTAGATTTGATAACAAAGATATTTCATGCCGTATATAATAAATTTATAATTTTTTCATAAAGAATATGATATTAATAAATTTGAGACATAATATTCTAAAATAAACAAACAAAAATGAGGTTAAGAAAGCTATCATTATACAAAGATTACAAGATAAATTTTCAATCTAATATGATTTTACTATCTTCAATTGATCAACAAAATTAACACATAAGATGATAAAAGTAAATTATGTATATAGTTTCATTATTTAATATTTAAATATCACATTTTTAATGTATAAAAAAAATATCACAACATGACGACTATCATTGAAAAGGCGATATTATATCACATGCCAACCAAAACAATTCGTATATTGAATATATCAAATTTATTATTTGTATTAGTACATAAATATATAATTCATGACTTTCATTCTGTTGAAAAACATTGCTACACCATAAATAATTAGAATTGATTAATTGAGTAAATTTCTAAATGGAATCTATCATTTATCTAATCAATAAAATGTAATCTTAACAACTTTTGTGAGAAACAAAGTGTTGCATTTAACCATACTTGCACAATTGCATGAGAAGATAACATTTAAAAATATCATAAAATAGATTGTGTTTCACTCTAATTTTGATATTTCTTCAACCGTAATTTTCATAATTCATCCATTCACATCAAATTTAAGATTGGAAATTATTAATGTTAGAAAATTCTTCATTTTATAATAATTCCTTTTTTCATCTCATCTATATTGTGTTAGACTTTTTTAAACACAATAAGTATATATATTTTTTCAAAATATATGAAATATTTATTATTAATATTAGCATATATTGAAAATCATGAATTGGATTTTCGTTTTATTTGTTATTTTAATTCTTAAATTTTGGAATCACGAATTAGTTTGAATATAAATTTAATTATTGAATCGTATCCATTTTCATAACACTAACATGA